CATGCCCCCACCACCCCCCGCAGCTCTTCCTCCATCACACCTTTTACCTCCTGATTTGGGCTTTTTCCCCCCTTTTTAGGCCCTGAGGATGTGTTTGCAGCCCCAAATCTGACCCCGGCAAACCCCACTCTGCCCTTCCCCACGCTCCAGCCGCAGGACCAGAAGTAGATCCGAGTCCCAGAGTCTCTTTTCCGTCCAAAGAAGCATATTTGGGTTTATTTTCCCTCCTTTGAATCACTTCTTTCAGTGCCAACACACATAGTGATGCCCCGGGGACACCCCACGTGCAGAGGATGAGCTGTCCCCAACAGCCAGCACCCCACCAGTAACACCCAATGGGCCATTCCGCACCCTCCTGGGTGCTGCCGGAGTCAGGATTGTGCTTGGCAACCCCATCCCAGTGCTCCAGCATTGCTAAACTGGGGGTACAGACAGACGGGAGCGTGGATGTGGGACACAGGGACTATCCCAGCCCCGTGGGTGACAAACGCACCCTCTCACCACGTTTTCCTCCTTCACATCCAGAGATTTCAGCCTGGAGAGGATTGTTTCGGGGGGTTATGCCACAAGATCTCTCCCCTCAGCGGCATTCCAGGCTCCTGGCTCGGCCACGGACCCCTGTCCTCGCCCTGCACCCACCATTGAGCCCCATAACTGGCACCAGGAGCTGATCCAGGCTCTCCCTATGGATCCTCTCCCGGTGTTTCAGACGAGCCGGGGCTCACCCTCCAGGTCGCACAGGCCGGTGAAGCTGAGCTCCCGGCCGGAGGGGGAAGGAGGGGATGGAGGGTCAGGACCCTCGGCTGTGGGGCTGTGGCTCACGAAGGCTTCCAGGGATTTCAGGAGCTGCTTCGGCTTCCTTTTGGTGGATAACTCCAGCTCTGGGAAGAGCAGAGGGAAAAGCATGAGGATGGAGAGCGGGGATGGGGTCAGGGATGCAGTAAAGCTGCTGCCCGACAGATCCCCTCGGGAAAGGTTGTTCCGTTTCCCTCACCAAACCCCGGCTGAGCTCAGCACCATCCCAAGATCCCCCCATAATGGAAGCCCAGGATGAAGCACAAGGATCTGGCAACAGCCAGATCTCGTTTGAAGTGGGAGCTGTTGGAAAATGCAGGGATCACCCCCCGCAGGGAGCCCCCCCCCCATGGGGCACTCGGGTAGTTAAACTTGAACAAACCGGGCGTGAAGACGAAACAAGGTGTGTTTGGGGGTTTCTGGGTGTTACGACCCCCAGCCTGGGCTCAGCAGGACACTAACAACATGCCGGGTTCGGCCTCCGGTTCTTTTCCTTGGGAAAGAAGGAGGAAAACCCAGGAAACAAACCCTTCAGGAGGAAGCAGGAGTCGGCGATGGTCTTGTGCTCCCGCTTCCAGACGCGGTAGAGCCGCAGGAAGGCGGCTGCATAGAGGTCGTTGAGCACAGCAATGACCTGCTGCCGGCGGTTGCATTCCCTGGAAGAGGTGGAGAGGGGCTGAGCCGGTGTCTGGAGCACCAGGAAGCAGCTCCAGATCCCAAATCCCCTCCTGGCCTGGCTATGGAGCTGCTGGAACCCACCGGGAGAGCCGCTCCTCCCTCAGGGCCTGCAGGATGATGCGGGTGATGTTCACGGACATGATGCCGAAGGGGAACTCCTGCAGGAGAAGGAATGTTATGGCAATCCCAGCACGCCGAGGTGCCCACGCTTCCTCCAGCCCTTCCACACCATCCCAAACCCATGGGATGCGGCCTGCAGGCAGCAAATCCATGCAGCAGGATAATGGTACTGAGGGTACAGGCTTAGAGGGATGCTGTGGGACGAGCCAAGCTTATATCCAGGTTTAAACCCAGTTCTATCCAAGATGAAAATGCCAAGTTTAAGGAGACGGGCTCCACTCGCTCCTGGTTTTCACCTGGATCTTTGTGCTTCCCACTCCCGGAGCATTAGGAATTGTCAGGGAGGTAGCACCATGGGAAGACCTGCCTGGGTTTCGTGCTGGGACAGTTTGAAGATGTCCAGAGCCAGAGGCAGCATCTGAGGGTCCATGACGAAGAAGAGCATCTGCATCAAGGCCAGCATCCCTGTCCCTCGCAGGTCTGTCCCGGGATCCGTGCCTGGAAGGGTGGGACAAGCCTGGAGTCACTCCCTGTCACCTCCCTGCTCCCATGGGCTTTTATACCACTCAAACCCTGGCAAATCCCTTCAGGAATTGCATCCTGAGGGCAGCTTTTTGAGGAGCTTCCCGAATGGGTGCTGTCACCTCTTCCCTGTCGGTGATTCCCCCACCCGTGTGCCCATTCCCAGCCCTGCTCTAGGAATGTGCAGTTTTAAGCTCGACCTACCCCAAGGCTGTAAAGCGTCACCCAAAGCCAGTTGTGGAGCCACAGCAGCCGCAGGGTTTAGGCTTTGTTAAACCTGTTCTATCAGGTCAACCAGCCCAAAGGTGCCAGCGAGGCCACATGTGACACCTTTAATCACCTTGTGTCTCTTAATGACATTGTTTTTCTTACCCAGCTGAGGCCACCTCAGTGACAGAGCCCTGACCGGGCCCGGGAATGGGACACGGCTCATTAGCCCTAATGAAGAGCATTAATGACACCACAGAGCTGGTGCAGGGCCTGGAGCACAAGTGTGGAGAGGAACAGCTGAGGGACCTGGGGGGTTTAGTGTGGAGAAGAGAAGGCTCCTGAAGGGGACACCTTAGAGCAGCTCCAGTGCCTAAAGGGGCTCCAGGAAACCTGGAGAGGGGCTTTGGACAAGGGATGGAGGAACAGGCCAAGGGGAATGGCTTGAACACCCGGGCGGGGGGGGTGAGATGAACGACA